AATATAATCCACTCTGCAACTCTGATTCTGTACTCTTATGATAATCACAATACCCTAAAATATAATACTTATTATTAATTTTAATGAAAGTTTACAGAGACAGAGGATTTCCATTCATTCACTATTGCACTTTTCTCCCTGTCCATCCTTCCCTCCCCCAATTCATTCTTCTCTTTGAAAAGTAGAAGAAAAATTCTTTCATTGTTATACAATCCCTCCAAGTCCACCCCACCCACTACGCAGCCTTCATTCTGGACTCCTGTCATGGCAATAATACCTAATCACATCTCCCTTTTAAATAGTTTTCTTCCTCATCTAGTTCTTTCTCAGTCTCCCCCTAATCCTGATGTCAGTCTTGTTTTACAACAGAGGCACTATTCAATACTTGTCCTTTTGTGACTGAGATACTACACTCAATATAATGTCCTCCAGGGTCACCCATTTTGAATAATATTGCATGAGTTCCTTGTTTTTCAATTCAGTGTAGTATTCCATTGTGTGAATACACCACAGCTTCTCTATCCATTCGTTTGTGGATGGGCACCTGGGTTGTTTCCAAACTCCTTACTATTATGAACGAAGCCGCGATAAACATGGGTGTGCCTATATCTGTTTGGGTGTCAGTTATTGTCTCTTTGGGGTATATTCCCAGTAGTGGAATTGCTGGGTCAAATGGTATCTCTATTTGCAACTTTTTGAGAAACCACTATCATACCGCCTTCCACAGTGGTTACACCATTTTACACTCCCACCAACAGTGAATAAGGGTTCCAGTTTCTCCACAACCTCGCCAGCATTTGTTGCTTGCTGTTTTGTTAAATTTTGCTATTCTGACTGGGGTGAGATGATATCTCATAGTTGTTTTGAGAACAGACATTTAACTACACTCCATACAGACTTTCAAGCAATTTGTCTAATTGTTTCCAAGGTTTCTGGGTACCGTCAGTTCTTGGGATTTCCCAAGCTAGGGAGTATGAGTTGTCCTGTTTCTTTTTGGATTTCTCCAATGGAACTTAGCAAAGCAGGAACTGTGTCAACCCAAGACACAATCCCCAATCATCTACTTCCTTCTTCCAAAACTTTAATGGAACTTTTCATCTGTTCTATCTCTCAATTTCTGTGGACTTCTATAGTTTTTGGTTATTTTTCTCTATTTTCTCTAGCTATTTGAGTGGGTTATTGGGAGGGAAAAGATAAATATATCTGTTAAATCTACACTGTTTTACTAGACACTTCCTATTTGCCTTCTAAAGTAGCATGTCCTGAATGCACTTTGACTTCTATCGATGATTCGCAGTCATTTGAACACTCCTTATTATACTGTATCACAACTAAAAGGTGCTTGCCCCACACTGACTCACCCCCTCCCCATCCCCACCAGCTCAGTCTGGTTCCTTTTAGTAACTGTAACAGACTTTCAATATTAGTTCTCTGAATTTGGCAAGATGACCTCATTAGTATTTTATAAAAGGTTGATCTACTGTTCTCAAAAAGCAATGTACATAAAAATTGACTTGTATATAATAGGTCAAGTTCTAGTTACATATTCATGGGTGACACTTATATGGCCAAATGGTTCCACGTGTCTCAGCAATCTGAGGTCAATATTCTGCAATTAAGTTTCAGACTTTTCACATGATTCTAAAAACAGCATATGAAACCTGTAAATTCCATCCAACTGGTAATTTAGCACTTTGGATCACACCATAAAGCTATCTTAAGAGAAGTGTTGGTTAGAAGTAAGTGAACATTTACTTGACCTTTCTAAGAAAACCTATAAGACACTTTCCATATTTTCCTGCAAAGTGCCTTCTTTTCACCCTAAATTATTTCCAAGTCCTTTCTAACTGCATTCTTTTCACCCTAAATTATTTCCAAGTCCTTTCTAAGATCCAGATTTCTTCTCCTGGCACTAAAAAACAAAGGATACTTCTCTCTCTCAAGGATGCATTATGAACCCAAAAAATACATGTGTAAGTACTAACTCTATATCTCTTACTTTGGAAAAAAGGTTTGTCTTGGTCTATCAGTTAATGAGGCTGTTCTAGAGTACAAAACTCAAATACTTATGGCCAGAGAGTTGTAACTAATTCACAGTAGGTTTCCAAGGGTGCAAATCACATGGGAAGAAACTACCGTTTTTCTCCCATGGAGTGGCTGGGGGATTTGAACTTCAAAGAGGCCCCACTTTTGAGTTGGCAGGACAACTCCCTACAGACTAGGCCCCTTACAGTTCCCTTTACCAAAGCCCTAATCACTTGTATAAATTTGAATTTAGAAATGGCATCTTAAGAGAGAAGAGAGCAGACACAGAGAAAGAACTCATATAGAGCAAATCTACAGGAAGATTCATCTACTAGGCAAAGTTTTAAAAAAATGGTGAGAACTCTTGCAAAAAGTTACTATGGATATGTACTGTCAAGTCAGAACTGACTCAAAGCTCATCCTCCATCAAGTTTCAGAGGCTGTAAACCACGTGGGAGAAGAATGCCCATCTTTCTCCTGCAGAGCAGCTGGTGGATTTGAACCAGCTGTCTCTGGGATGGTAGTGCCACTCCTTATCACTAGGCCAACCGAGACATGGAAGAATCTTCCCCTAGAGAAAATGTAAGGGAGCAAAGACCTGTACACATTCTTAATCTAGACTTCAAAATTGTGAGAAAGAAATCTCTCTTGGTTAAAGTCACCCACTTCATGGCATTTTATGGCGGCCATGATGTTGTGGTGTGCCACTGAGTCAGAACTGACACATAGCTGACCCTCAAGAGGCTTTTCAGAGGTAACAGCAGCTGGTGGATTTGAGCTAAATGCCTTTGGGATTGCAGTGCAGCTTCTTATCACTAGGCCACTAGACCTTCCCTATAGCAGCCATGTTATTATTGTTGGGTACC